ATACTTTGATAATCTGGCTCCGAAAGTGTATTCAGTTATTCTCCTTTTCTGTGTTCAGGCTTCTGAGGGAAGCAGCAGTGTCCTGCCTGCCATCTCTAGCTGAGTCGAAGGGAGAAACACGGCAAGCCAGTGCCAGCTGGCTCCGAGCCCCGCGGCAGGATGAGCTGGGAGAGCCCTGTGCCCGCTCCTGTGGCATCCCCTTCGCCACTGCCGGGCACACTCTGCCCCGTCCACAAGGAGCAAAAAACCATACGTGAGAACTCCCCAAGGACTGCTGCCTCTAGCGTGGCACAAGAAAACCCAAAGACCCCAAACTCCTAACACAAAACCGATCAAACAGAGGCAAGGTCAGCGACTTTCCCAGGCTTACTACTTGGCTTTGGGGACAGCGGCTTATTTGTCGTTCTACAGGCACCACTATCATAAGGCTGTTAGCACAAAGCTAAGAAAAATTATTCCCCAAAACTTTGCTGAACCTTTTCACAGGTTCTGTTTAAAATAAAGTCACCCACTTTTCCAACACAATTCCAGTACTTTTTCACCTTTCCAAATCCACATGTTTGTTTAGAGCGCTAATCAGTGTTTCACAGTTCAGCATGATGTTCAGATCCGGTTCCTAATGGTCTCCTCCCCAACAAGCCAAATTACAACAGCCATACCTAGTTATTTTAATGCTCTCTAGTGTTGACTTGCATTATAGCATGCTATTTATTCAGCTTCTCCAGCTGTATTAGTTATCATTAAACCATTTCTATAGCACTTGCAAACTGAAAAACGCCATGAAAAAGCACTTGCGTGAGTCATTGATTTTAAATATGTGAGAGGTCTCATTAATTTTTAAATTTGCTCAGCATCTTGCAAGACCAAACTGTGATCAAGTCAAAAAAGATGAAAATGATAACAAAAAAAGATCTTAGCCAGGAATTTACTTAAATATTGCAGCCGGCTTACCAGGCCCTTCTCTTTCCTCCCCCGGCTCTTGGGGAACTCAGGTGTGAAGCCATAGCTGGTGATCTGTTAGCCGGCTCATACTCTCTTTCCGCTTCTGGATCCCGTCTCAAGCGGAGGCCTGATCCAGTCTGCCTGATGCAAAGCGTTGTGAACACGCATTTCTGGGTAGGATTCAGCTGAACAGGGAGCGGGAGCTGACAGCCAGCAGACCGTGCGTCGTCTGCAGTCCGGCTGCAGGCAGCAGGTCGTAAGGCTGAGGCATGCTCGGCATCAACCGACAAAATGCTTCTGGCGCAAACGCACCAACCCCTGCAAGATCCTTGCCATGCTAAATTAAGCAAACCTTCCCTTGTGAAGCAAGTGATACCAATGACAGCCGTGTATGAGGTGTTTTGCCAAGAGAAACCACGCTGGTTACAACTCTAGCCCCTGCCAAGGTTGCCACAACGTGAAGCCAGCGTATCTGGAACGTTAGCCAGCTTTCTTATGCATGTTTAGTGCATACAGAAAATTATGCAGCTTAACCCCAACATCCTGAGAAAAAAGAAAGAATGGGGAGAAGGTACGGGTGAAACCGCAATGTAACATCACTGGTTTTAATTTCTTTTGGTCAGATTTTCACTCCTTCCCCTTCCCCCTGAAACAAGCCGTTCATTTTCTTTCCCAGCTAGCAGTGCAAGGGTGCATCAAACATGAAGAGATGGTTAGCTTTTCCTGTTAGCTTAAGCATGTCAGTCTAAATTGCAGTACTTTTCTGGTTCAGTTTCCTCAAAAGGTGACCACATTGTGCTTTGCTGCACGGCCATGCTCAGTAGTTATAACCTGTTTTGCAAATGCTGTTTGTGCTTGAGGTTGGGTCCATAAAGTGCTGCTGATTGAGCATTCTTCTTGCCATCAAATACACCATCAAAACACTGAGAACTGTAGCATGTTCCAACTAACTTGTTGCACAAAAATGCCAAATTCAGTAAGAGTTGAGCTACCTTGGTACGAGACTCCTCCAGTCACATAGCAGTTTGCTTATTTTTGCAATACGATCAGGCTGAAGCCTCAACAAAATACACACCAAAAGCAGAGGTGGGACACTAGCTGTGGGAGCCTAAAAGAAGGAATCACTCTTAATGCTTCATTTGCTGTGGAAAGATTTTAGCAAGTATTATGGTGTGTGGCAACTGACTTGTTAATCACCCCTCCATATGTAGCAGATATATGCATTTGCAGGCTAGCAAGAGGCTTGCTAGAAGCACTTGCAGAGCATCAATAAGAGCAGGATGCCTATGCATATACCACTGACTGGTCTGGGTTGAAAAGGACCTTTACAGTCTAATGCAGTGAGCAGGGGCATCTTCAACTAGATCAGGTTGCTCAGAGCCCCGTCCAACCTCACCTTGAACAACATTTCCAGGCACGGGGCATCCACAACTTCTCTGGGCAACCTGGGCTAGTGTTTCACCACTCTCATTGTGAAAATTTTCTTCCTTATATCCAGTCTGAATCTACTGTCTTTTAGTTTAAAACCACTGACCCTTGTCCTACTGCAATTAAAAAGTCTCTCCTGATCTTTCTTATAATCCTCCATTAAGTACTGGAAGGCTGCAGTAAGGTCTCCCTGGAGCCTTCTCTTCCCCAGGATGAACAACCCCAACTCTCTCAGCCTGTCCTCACAGGAGAGGTGTTCCATCCCTCTGATCATTTTGGTGGCCCTCATCTGGACCCACTCGAACAGGTCCGTATCTTTCCTGTGTTGAGGGCTCCAGAGCTGGACGCAGGACTCCAGGTGGTGTGTCACCAATGCAGAGTAGAGGGGCAGAATCCCCTCCCTTGACCTGCTGGCCACGTTGCTTTGGATGCAGCCCAGGATACGGTTGGCCTTCTGGGCTGGAGCGCACATTGCTGGCTCGTGTCCAGCTTTTCACCCACAAGCACCCCCAAGCCCTTCTCGGCAGGGCTGCTCTCAATCCCTTCATCCCCCAGTCTGTACTGATACTGAGGGTTGCCCCGACCCAGGTGCAGGACCCTGCACTTGGTCTTGTTGAAGCTCCTGAGGTTCACATGAGCCCATTCCTCAAGTCTGTCAAGTGTTGTGTTTTCAAACATGCTTAAGGCAACATAAAAGTACTTTCCAAAGGCAACTTCAGAACTTTAGGTAGTTGCTAAGAAGTCAAGAAGTCTACTTACGTTTGTGAGTCCTTTTTATTTCAGGTTCTGTGCCTTTCCTGTTTTTTTTTTTTCTTTCTCATTTGCGTGTAAGCCAGCATGATCAGCAAACCCAATTTCAGCAGTGTGCGTGGCAGAGCTGGGATACTGGTTTACAAACATGCATAAACCCCTTTATACTCATTCTTACCCATGAACTTTGTTGATGCTCTTGGCCATGAAGTGAAGAGTTGTGTTCACCCCTCTCATTTTTTCACCCTACCAGGTAGGAAGAAGTTGCTTATTTGCAAATGTTCTGGAGCACGTAGAGGTTGTAAGTGAAACCACCCAACCAAAGAGCGAAACATAGTAAATAATCCCTATGATTGTGGAGATGTTTTCCACTCACATTTCCCTCCTTCCTAGCATGTGATACTGCCCTTTCAAAGCAGACTAGATGGTCTCTTTTGGCTACCTAAACATAAACAACTATCATGAAACAAAATTCCATGACATTGAAGCACATCCCAGCTGTGTAATAGATCTAAAAAGCAGTCCCCCATACTGTAACTACAGTAATTTTTTCTGACAGAAAGAAGTGAATGTTCATAGTTTTGAAATGCATTTGGATTTTGATGAAAATCAAAACCACCCCTATTAAACAAAGTGAGAATGTAACTGAATACGTTTCATAAACATTTGTGGGATTTTAGCCTTACAGAGTACATATACATATAGTTTTAGTGCTCATGTACTTAGAAAGTGGCAAATACTTGAGAACAAAAATCTAGGTAATGCAATGCTTAATTATGCTTAAGCCCATTAAAGAACAGACACAAATTGACACGAGATCATGGTTAGAAAGGTGTTTATCCCTGCCAGAATGTATACAGAAAGATTAGGTTTCTTATTACTTGTGTTGGACTGCTGACAGCTTTTATCCATTACTGTACTTCTTGGCAGATTCCTATGGCAAATCCTACCTTAACCAAATTCCTACTTAAGTTGATTTCCATTTTCGTGTACAGTCCTACTACCTACACACTTGTTCCTAAAACTGAATTCCTGTTATTTGGCTTCAGCATCTCTTGTAGTGAAAGAACTCTACACACAATGACTTCAGCTCTTGGGCTTTACACCACAGCAATTTTAGTAGACGTGGGCACAATGTAAAATATAAAATACATCCAGACTTGGCAGGGATAAAGGATACTTCCAAGTCCTAAACACGTGCATGATGATTAATCATGTGCATGAAAGCACACCTTTGCAAACCGCCGAACAAGATGATGCATATGGCTTTTTCAGTATATTTTCTGGAGAGCCATTCAACACTGATTTGTTGTGAAATAAAATGCCACAATTTTTTGTGAAATTAATTGTGAGAAATGCCATATCCTACTGAAGACGCCTAATGTACACTAGTGGTAGGAACACACAAAAAAAAGCTAGTTCTAGCTGCTGAGAATTATCTTCCCTGACACACTGCGCCAATCAATAGCTGATTTTCAGTTGCTAACATTCCTAAAACCATACAGACTGTTTTAATGTGGAATACATTAAAATGTAAAATAAACAGTTTCAGTGTCCAAAATGCAAAATAATGCTACGGAAATTAAGTAAGTTTACAGGTAATTCCAGAAATAATGACAAATAGTGGGGGAAAAAAAAAAGCCTGGAAAAATATTTTCACTTTCTTCAGAAAGTAATGGATCAGTGGAGTGGCTCCGTAAGTAAAAATTTAATCAACCTGATACAGTTCAAAACCCTAAAATGGGATTTCATAAAACCCCTGCAATAAACTGAACTAACATTGCAAAGGATTTGACTGAAAAAAGAGTTTATTTGAAAAACACTCAACAACTATTACTAAGAAACTATTTTTCCCCTCTACATTTACATATACTATACATATACATATACAGAGTTTGAATTTGAATTGCGCATTACTTCAATGAATCCATAGAGCTATGTATTGTACAACAACTTGGTTTAAGGTTTTGCATTTCTTGGATATAGTACAGTCTTTTTGTTGTTTGAAATTGTCTAAAAATTAAGCATGTGTAAGACACGTTATCTCAATGCATTGCTAGTAATTTCCTGTAGACACTGTTATTCACATTACTAGAGCACGTAGCCCTTCTGCTAGTGGTAGACATTGACTGGCCACTGCTGTTACTACTGTTAGGATCAAAAGTCTTTTTACAATTGAGGAGACTGAAAAGTTGTCTCTGATACTGAGAAGAAGCATAGTAGTAAATAAAGGGGTCAATGCAACAGCTAACGCTGCTGATACAAACACAGAGTAGGTAGGCAAAGTAGAGGTACTCTAAGCTGTTATCGTAAGAAAAATGGATATAATGAATTAATAGGAGGACATTAGTTGGCCCAAAGCAAATAACAAAAACAGAAAAAACAGCCACACACAAGAGTAAGGCACGCGTCTTCTTATTTTGTTTTGCAACAATGGTAGAAGAACTAAGACATCGAATGATACACACATAACAGACAGTAGAAATTACAAACGGCACTACAAAAAACACAGAAGAGAAGATGGAGAAGAAGTGGAGGTAATAGCCGTGAAGTTCAGATTCTCTTAGCACATCGTGGCAAGTAGTTATATTTAACTTGGGTATTTCCATCGTTTGCTCTCTGGTGAGAAAAGGTATAACCCCAGTTATTGCTACAAGCCATATGATGAAACAAATCAGCGAGGCACGTCTTAATGTACGCCACCCGAGAGACTGCATGGGATACACCACTGCTAAGAAGCGATCAAAGCTTATGCTTGTCATAAGCATTATTGAGCAGTACATGTTACAGTAGAAGGCAGCAGTGATGAACCGGCACATCTGAGGTCCAAAACGCCAGTCATTTCCAGAAAAGTGATAAGCAATCTTAAAAGGAAGCACGCTCACAAACAGGACATCTGCAAGGGCCAAATTCAGCATGTATACTACAGCTGGCTTTTCAATTTTCATTTTTTTCAGAAACACGAGTATCGCTGTAATGTTCAGCGGGAGGCTGAGCACGAGCACTAAGGTGTAAACGGAAGGAACAAAACGCGTCAGCCACGGGCTCGTGAGGTATCTTGCTGTTTGCACTGACACTGTCCGTGGTTCACGTAGGGATGATCCCGTCAGATTGGTGGCTCCCGATCCAACTTCCAAGTCATTTTCACTGTCACCTTCAGTAGGTATAGGGTCATCCCAGTGACTTGCAAAAGAGAGTACAAAACTTCTGGCCTGTGGCATGCTGCCATTATATAGGGAGGCTGAAAAATAAGAAGGTATTAAGATTAATAAGCAAATATTTACATGCTATGGGGAAGCGAAAATATCTTTCAAAAAGGAAAGCTAAGATCGCATTTGCAACACAAAATAATGAGGTTAATTCCTGATTCAACATGCAGGCTGCCCACAGATGTTAGTCCAGCCCTTTTTATTTTAGCTCCTGTTAAAAGTTTATGTAGCGTGTCCTCCTTTGTCTCCTGTCTCTTAGCTTGGAGGCTTTTTCTGGTAGGGACTCTATCTTATGGAGCCAATCTCATCTATCTTCTCTTTGGGGTACTTTAACAGAAGTCCAATGGTAAATTTGCCACCCTTGAAATGTCTTTGCCAGACCCTTCATACAGTTTCTGAGAAGTGAGGTGCTGGGATAAATACTCGTATTCATACACATCACCAAAATAGCAAAAAGTTAAAAGTGCAATTAAAATACCAAGTTACTGAAATATTTCTTGTGCTCTGGAGACGCCTTTCCTAACCTGACAGCCCCCACCAAGGCAGATGGCAGAAGTCTGCATGCAGTTTTCAAGGCCGATGTGGATCAATGTTTCGCTTGTTGTCAGACAGGTAGCCACAGATTGCACTGGAACACTTCCCCACTTCTACTTAGCCTACCCCACAGCATGAAACATCAAGGACGGCACGTCTTACAGACATGCAGACAGCAGACTTATTTTGGAAGACTCTTGTTTTCAGCTTCAGCTTAACCTCGTTAGGCATAGGGTAGTTCAAACATATTATGGGCAGACAGAAGTGAGAGTCACTACTACTTAAGTAATCATTCACCTACTTAACCGTGCAACTGATCCTTTGTTGAATCCTAGATAACTAAAATAAAAATGGTGTGCTAGCTTAAATCAGTGACCTGAAAGTACATATGCATGATTGACCTGTCTAAGATGCTACTTGTTAGAAGCAATTATTTGTTCTACAGTAATTCAAACCATTTTTTTAATGCACATGAGAACAAAAGCATCCGAAGGCGGCGGATGGCAGAAAGAGGAGTGCCCGCAGCTCTGAGCAGGCAGTTACCTCCCTTAGTGCACAGGCTGTGCGAGAAGGACCCTGCCCAGCTTGAATTTTGGTGAAACGCAGACTTGAATGCGGAGGGAGATCAGAGGAGTGGTAGGGAAATTTGGGTATTTTTTAAAGCTGCTGTGCTATGTCTCAGCAGCATTCTGGGGGCAGAGGGGACAACAGAGGGTAAGGGTTTGAGATGATGGTTTTCATATGCAAAGAGACTAGACTGCAACCTCTGCAGGCCAGAAAAAAGATGCTGCATGAGAATTTCAGCCACGAGCTTGTTGCATAGACTGCAGCAGGAACAATTTAGGACTTTCACTGAAACACAAATGCACAGAAGTATATGAGATTCAGTGTTTGCACAGAAGGGCACTAAACCAACATATACAAGAGTCTGTTCTGCTGTCTGTAAGAGAACACTAGCAAAAGGCAAAATGATAGATCCTTAATCTTGAACCTGACTTTAGTCCAAGCAGTTGGATGGCTCAAGGAGTCAAGCTCCGAGTTCAGCAGTTTAGGTGCAGCACGAGTTGTATTTAACACCTCTAACTTCAGTCTGTGACTGACATCAAGTACTTAGGTGATTTCCAGTACTTAATGATCACTGCAATAGGAATCTGTCACAACTGACACCATCAGTACTCCTCTCTTTTGGAAGGATTGTAATAATACTTGAATGATAAAGCCCAGAGGCTTGTCTCCATGGTAAAGTCATCAGTAAGAGTGAGGAAAACTCTTGAACAGTACCTCTGGTATCTCCAGTTCTATGAATTCAAGACCTTGAATGCCGTGAATACCTATTTCTTCCACCAGCATTTCTAAACCAGAAAATCTCTGAAACAGAAGACAATGATCATCCTAGTCTCTGAAAGCATATATGTCTTTTTTGGTTTCTCCACCACTGAAGAACAGTGTGGAGAACCAAATGAAGAGGTGACATTTGTTTCATGTGAGGAAGGCATGTTTTTGGGGAACAGATATAAATGGACTTGATGATAGGGAAAGCAAACCGGTGCCTGGAGTCAGGAACTGTACTGCTGAGATGATGTCTGCACGACAGCAGCAGCACCTCTCCCATCCCCGTATCCCTGAACCCTGAAGGGCTTTGCCTGCGCTGTCTCACCTGAGCTAGCAGTGCTGCAGTGCCTCACTTTTTGAGGACTAGGGAGCAAACCAGTCAGAGCCACTGACCCTTAAATGACTGAGGTTAAAAGTCACTTACTGTGGAAGCCCTTGGTCGTAACCTGACCCATTTCTCGTCAGTGACTCCTAACTTAGAACACTATGAAAATATGCAAAAGGAAAAAACATGATGATTGGGCCAGTTGCCTTTCATCAACTACTGACCTTTGTCTTAGCTATTGCTTACAGTTACTTGAACATTGCTAATAATTTTAATTATATCCTGAATTCTTGGGGCTAACTTATTTACAACTTTCTTAGGTGAAAGGATTTCGAGTCTGAATTACTCCATTATCAAACTTTTCTAGAAGTAGAATCCTATTAAACATTTCATAAATAATGAAAAAAAGTTTAGTTAAAATTCTCTGTATTAATACTTTTAACTTGGTGAAAAATGTGTTCTCCGTATAAGCAAAGACTTTCTAGGTTCAGAGTTGAACTCAACCTTGATGCTGTTAACAACACCTCCGTGCTGTGTTTTGTGCTCAGTCCATGTCTCCACCTTCAACTTAGATGACATGAGGTACTACTTAAAAGCCAGGTCTATAGAAAAATACAGTAAGACATCAAATTTGCTATTTCTTTGCCACTTGATTATATAGAGAGTGAGAATTTAAACCTTCTTGATGAAATTAAATTTAATTTGAATTTAAAAGATTGATAGCCACATATCGCTTTTCCTTTGCAAAGCTGCTTTTATGTTTGTATGACACAGCATCGGTGTATTATTAGAAAAAACAATAGTGCACTTCATGCTTTCTGAAACAGAAAGGAAGATAGTTACTGCCCTGAGGTTCTGGATTCCTTTTGTGTCAGTGTTTATTTGAAAAAGCCCATGACCAGAGATTTATACACAGAAGGGAAGAGTCATACTATTTCAAAAGATCTCAATGAACCTTGAGAATAAACATGAAGGTCAGTCATGGGAAACCGGTATTACGTATAAGCTGGGATAGTACAAGACAGCCAACACAGCAGCTCTCCAGAAAAGATTTTAAAACTACTCTTACATAGCTACAGCTATAGCAGAGTCTGTCAGATGTTCCTTTCTAAAGGATTTGTCTAAAACATATTTCACTACAGCTTAAGTCATTTTTAATAATACAAGTAATCTATTAGGCAAACAGAGGTAAAGCTTGTATAATGATCATAAATGTTCAAACAGTCATCCTGTTTTTGCTAGGCCGTCATCCGATCCTTTTGGAAGAGGTCAAACTGGTAAATACTATTTTTATGAGTAATAGTATTCTCGTTGCTGATATGACAGCGTTAACGTCTGTATCAAAGTACTTGTAAAATATAAATAGGTATGAAAGAACAGGACCAAGAACAAAGTAAGAGCAGGGTAAAGCACTGAGGTTTTATCCTCGTGGTCGTGCAGTCAAGACACTGAACAGTATACACCCAGTCTTGTCTTTGCTTCCAGTGAGGACTTTGAAAGGCAAAAATTATGTAGAATCAGTATGATACTCAAAATTCTCTGAAGTTTTCATTAACTGCCTGCAGTCTTTGCACTGATGCTCCAACAAGGACATACAGAAATGATGTAGAAAGCTCAGTAAACTTGGGATTATTTGATTTTAACAATCTATACTGTGCTGTCTTCCATCAAGTACTACATATTGTTGGTTTCAGGATCAGCATATGCATATTCCACTTACACTGGAAGCACTGGAAGACACCGCTTTTTTTTTTTTTTTACACAGAGCTATTTTATAATTTCCTTTTATGTCTACTTTTCATATCTAAGGGGCTACTGCACATACTGTTCTGTGAAAGGAGACGTAGAGAGCAAAAAATATAACGGATCCAAGCAGTCTTAAAAAGGACTCTTGAGCTCCAGAAGAAAAATTTCAAAGCATTTCTGTAGACCCATAAATCTGGAGAGGATGTTACAAACTATCAATGTTCATGTCCCAGTGGATATCTTTCTGAGGCGGAAAACTAAAGAATAGGCTCCCAGTCAAGCCAATTAAATACGTTCCCTGTGTGCTGCCGGAGAAAATTAATACCGATTTCTAGGTATTACTGATGACAGCTGCACCCGTACCGCTGGCTTAACAACAAAAAGTTGGTTTCTCTTATGTCCCTTTCGTAGAACCATCAGTGCTAAGCACCTAGAATCTAAATTACCCAGTGGCTCCTAGGTACTCACAGGCAGAATATCAAGTGCATGCCAGACATGTTCATAAACAAGGTAAGACACAACCTTGTAGGACCAATGACAATTATTTGCTTTTGTAAAAATAAACACCGTATTGTCTTTTAAGAATCTTCTTTAGCCCACACCTCTGTTTATACAGAATTCGTTATTATGTTACATGAGTGATATAGTAAAAATTTGAACACATTTGTCTAAAGTATCATTTTCTTGCAACCAGATGTCTGCTCCTTTTTGCTCTCCTTTCTCAATCCTTTTCACCACAGGTGCTGGCTCCAAGCAAGATGATAACATCTCTCTCTCCAGCTGTCGGTGTCCCAACGCAGGAAAATCCGTGCAGGTTCGGACCTCCGCCAGCCACCCCACTGCCGAGCTATTGCTTTCTTAGCTGCCCCCAGGGCCAGCACAGGTCGGTAATGTGGTAGCTGCGGACACTGAAGGACCAAGGGAGAAGCAGGACAGAAGCCGCAGGTGCACGGGCAGAGCAGACCTGGGGATACAGCAGTGCGTGGGCAACGGGAATTAAGGACATCCCGGTAGGAACAGGGGCAGCGGGGAAATTATAGTATTACAGTGGCAGCGAGCACAAGGAGAGCAGAAG